AGGAGGGGTATCAGTGACCCACAGGAGGGGTATCAGTGGCCCAGTGGAGGGGTGTATCTGTTTGTACCTCTTTGCGCAGGTCAGCGATGGTGCTGTCGTACAGGGTCAGATCCTTGCTGCTCCCCGCAGTCCTCTTGTTGTAATACTCCTGGATCTTCAGCTCCAGCTCTGCGTTGCTCTGCTCCAGAGAGTGCACCTGCACAGCCAGGGCAGCGGTCAGCACACGCCCCCACCCCCAGATCCCCGACTACTGCTTCCACTTCCACGTCCACTCGTCAGGCAGTGATCAGGGGAGATCACGGATTATCACCACGGATAGAGGTGCACTTCCTACTGCACTGTGACAGATACTCTGGGATTAGAGACAAGAATCACAACTGGTCCCAATCCTTCTGGGAGAGGGAGGAGGGAACGCCATTGAACTGGCAGCCTAGTATGTGATCTCCTGTCACAGCCTGAGGATCAGTGACCCTGTCTCTCAGTAGTGCTCCATATGTTTACAGTACATGTAAATATTTTATGATACTGTATGTCTTTGTTCTAAATGTCTGTAATATGTCTGTAGATTTTTTTGTTTCATGTTAAATTTATTTTTATTTGCTTTGGCAATACCGATTGTACTCATCAGTCATGCCAATGAAGCATCTTGAATTGAGCTGAATTATTAAAAGAACATCAGCAGTTGACAATTACATCCTTACCATACATGAACACTAACATGCATAAAGGCAGGTCTGTCTGCATCATAAAAACATTCTTATACAGTATATAAATTCCCATATATAGATGTTTAATTGGTTGTTAATAGATTATACAAACATATATAAGGTGTAATTTTCAATCACATTTTTGAAAATATCGCTGAATGGGCGTTAAAGAGGGTAGCTGATAGTTAGGGTAGCAGGTTGGAATATATTTCTTATTGATCGATTGATCGCTTCACGAGCAGGGGACAGCTGCAGCTCATCTGTCATCGTAACTGTCCGGCCAGACACCAGCCTCCAGCCGCCCGATACGGCCGCGTCTCCTCCAGCTTGGAATCTGTTCTGTGTCGGTGTTGTTCTGCTCGTGTGACGACTGGCGCTGACTCAGCCTGGCTGTGAAGTGTCACTGAAACAGCGCCGCAACTGTCCGCCGCGATCGGCACCAGGAAGAAATTCTGATGAAGGGCGGACAGACCCACACCACCCTCGTCAACATCACCGGGTAGTTAGTGCCTGCTGATAACGTGTGTATTCTTAGACGTTTCTCACTCTGGAGAGGACCTGGTGCTCTCACAAGCACACACACCCTTTAAACTGCGAAATGGTAGTAGTAGGATTTTTTACTCTTCAGTTCAAATTGTCTGCATCGAATTTCCGTGGATCAATTCTCCATAACAACTTTCCGTACAATACAGGGTGTCGACAAACTGCAGCCTGTTAATTGTTTATTTCGTTATTGTTTGTAAAGTTTTTAAGTTGTTAACGACCGAGACAAACGGTTTGTGTTTTGAGCAGCAGGTAAACGGCCGGGGAGGTTAGTCATGGCAACAGGAGCGGCGCGTCCGCAGGTGTGACTGTGCGGCTCTCTTCAAAGTCAAGCCCGGTCCGTCCGCGCCTGCAGCCCGACTGTACCGCTTCCGGGCCGCAGTAAATGGGCTTTACACCTGCTGTCAGGAAAGCGCTCGGGAGAGTGACGGGTGACTCCTGCACCCTCATCTTGGAGAGCTCTCCTGCTCCCCAGGCGAAGGCGCTCCACTACTACCCCGCTACCAGCTTCTGAACCGCGCGTAACGGAGCGCGTCTGTAAGAAACTCTCCGCCCTGTGCAAATACCGGCCGATCTTTTATAATTGTGAATTCCTCTGGATGTAAAGCGTCTATTTCTGTATCGTATTTCATATTCTGTCTCCGTTTTTGTATTTCTGGTGTTTAAATAAAAACTTCTATTACATCCGGGTACTATGGAAGCCTCACTGGCGGAATTGGGATTCTATAAAAAATCGTGTAATTAATTTGATTTTATCAGAGCACTGTACAAGACAAGTATTCAGGCCTAAAGATACTATGATCCAATACGATTCGTGAAAATAGTGTAACGGAACGGCCGACATACAGGTTGTACGATCTGGTTGTAGTGTGGTGACAGCACCCTCCTCTCCTGCGCATAACAGGGATGCTGGCCGCCGGGGTTAAAGAAAGTGTTCTTTAGCTCAGCTGGCAAGACCTGGGTTCGAGCCAATGCAGTGAGGCACGAACTAGTGCGAGAGCAGAGAGGGCACAAGCCCTAGAACCCGAATCCGTTGCAATAACAAAAGGACAGACAATGAAATGTGGGCTATTTCGAAGTCGCGAATGTGAGATATGAAGTCGCAATTCTGAGATACTAATTCGGAATTCTGAGTTACTAAGTCACAATTCTGAGATACTAAATCGGAATTCTGAGTTACTAAGTCGCAATTCTGAGATACTAAGTCGCAATTCTGACTAAGTCGGAATTCTGAGATGCTAAGTCGGAATTCTAACTTACTAAGTCGGAATTCTGAGATGCTAAGTCGGAATTCTGAGTTACTAAGTCGGAATTCTAACTTACTAAGTCGGAATTCTGAGATGCTAAGTCGGAATTCTGAGATACCATAGCGCGTTTTTTTTACTCCCTGGCGGAAACGGGCTTCCATAGTTCTGTGTCCCCTGGTGAGGAGTGCTGGTGATCTAGTTTGAGTTTCACATCTGCCTGCAGAACCATGGCTCTGGGGGTACAGCGACTCTGCACCCTAAAACAGCATGACCGCTGTGTCGCTGCAGGGCTGGCTGGGCTCTGTCCAGCTCCAGCTCCCTAACGAACTCCCTGCTGGCCCTTCCTGCTGCTTCTCACCTGGAACCAGGTAATAATGCTCCGCAGGGAGCTCAGGAGCACCGGCTCGGCTCAGGCGGTCTCACCCAGGCGCTCGTCTTACCTTCTCCAGGTAGGCGGCCAGACGGTCATTGAGGTTCTGCATGGTGTGCTTCTCGTTGGTGCTGATGGACCACTCGACCCCGGCCAGCGAGCCCAGGGTGGTGGCGCGGGAGATGCGTGTGCCGAACCCTCCCGCGCCGCCGTACATGCTGGGCGCCCGGCCGGCCGAGCTCGGGGGGGGCCCGGAGACGCGCCTGCCCCCCTGGGCCAGCTGCACGCTGCTGGCGGAGCTGAAGCCGCTGCGGCTGGAGGTGACCATCATCGCGGACGCCATGGCGATTGCGGAGTCTTCACGGGTCAGGCTGCGGGCTCTGGCGGTGGGCGAGGGCTCTCAGGCTGAGATGAGCAGCTCGCACCC